CCCCCAATATTGGACTGTGACATGGAAGGATAAGCCAAATAAACACTTTGCTCTCCAAGTTCCTCATGGTGTTTATCACAGCGCTAGAAAGCAGGCTAGGACAGAGTTTGGCATGCAGCATCTCAGCATGGGGCAGGGGTGAGCAAAGCTCTGGGAATGTTGGTCTCTACAGGCTCCTTCTGAACAGGGGGCTCTGAAGGAGGTGCCCACTGTGCCCAGAGACCATGAACTGTCACTTCACACAAGCTTTCTGAAAGTGCCCCTCCCGCCCCCAACTGCTCCTCTGTACTCTTTCTTTGATAGAAGACATCTGGCAAAGCCATCTCTTCCAATGACTGCATGATTCTGTTTTGAGTGGTTTCAGCGAGATAGGAAATTACTTTCTTCCTATTTAAACACACACACACACACACACACACACACAGCAGAATTAACCATAGCAAATCCCTGCTCATTGCTTCTTCATAGCAGACACTACTATTTCTGGGATAATATAAATTTATATGCAAACAATCCTGTGATCCCACTAGGATCTATTTCACTCTTCACTTGAGACTGGGGAAAAAAATGCTGTTTCCAAATGTATTAGTATTAATCAACAATTTATCAAAAACTTCTGTTCGGATATTGTTAGTGGCGCCTTGCTGTTTTATTTGTAAAGTCTTGGCTCTTTCAGGTCTCCAAAATGTCTAATTAAATTTGCATCAAAGATATTTTCTCTGTTCTATTAAAAAGCATATTATATACAATTAGGTGATTAAATTATTAATACATTTATTTAATTAGAATTTTCTTATGTGTCTGTGAGTGTACTTGTGTATGTGTGGTGTCTGAGTATATGCCGTGTGTGTGTGTGTGTGTGTGTGTGTGTGTGTGTGTCTATCAACAAAAGCCAGAGACAGTGTTGGATCCCCTGGAGCTGGAGTTACACATGGTTGTGAGCTGCCCAATGTTGGTGCTGGGAACTGACCTTGGGCCCTCTGGAAGAGTAGCCAGTGCTCTGAACTGTTGAGCTATGTCTCCAGCCCTAATGAGAATATTAAAGTTGTAATTTCTACTTACATTGAGTTTTCCTGTGACATAGAAATTAACCGTAGCTTTAAAAGTTAATAAGAGTCATGTTTACTAAGATGGCTATTGCAGTTAAAAGAAGAGACAGATATTGGCAAATTCCTAAGTGGCGAATTGTAGGCCTTGTTCGGTCAATGGGTGTGAAACAGTCCAGCCAGTGTGAGAACCTCCCCAGTAGCTTCCCTACTAGTGACAAAGTCACTTGTGACATAGCAATTTCACCCCTATGTTTAAACCAACAGGACATGGCAGCAGGTGCTCAAGGGTGACCTGCAAATATTCAGTGTGGCATGTGCATGACAGCCAAAAGGTGGGATCAGCCAGTGTGTGTCAGCTGATGGCTGGGTGAACCAATCAGGAAACACCGGCCCATGCTGCAGCGGAGGAGTGCTGTGAGTCAGTCTGAGTGAGACAGTCTGGGCATGAGGCTCTCCATACGTGAGGTCCAGAGTAGGCAGATTCACAGAAGTAGACAGAGGCTGGGGTAGAGGGTGTCTGTGTACCGGACGCAGGATTCTTTCTGGGTGACTGCTGGAGCTGGACACAGTGGAGGCAGCAGAATGCTGGTCACCCAGCACCAGGAAGGCAGTAAATGCCACTGACCTGAACTGGGAAGATTTTAGGACCGTTCAGTGGTACCACAGTAATATTTATTTTGCGTAGGTTTTGAGGATTTAATTCTCCAACGGAAACAAAAGGCCCAGAGAAAACTATCTCAACGAAGCAGCCCCTAAACAGGAGGAGTGTTTATTTTCGAAAGTATCTGCCTAAGTGTAAAGAACAAAAACACCGTTATAAGTTTAACGCCAGTAATGTGAAACTCTGCTAAAAGAACACTTCTACCCTCTTCTTTCAAAATTGGCTGAGAATTTAGGTTTGTAAAAAATATAATGTTTAAGGTTTGCAAGACTTTGCTTTCTTTGATCTGTGTGGCTGTATACATCCGGGGCATAATAGTTTAGAGTCAGTCAGAGAAAGAATACAAGGAGATGTCACCATTTCGGAGTGTAGATCCCCTACAGGCCCTGCCTCTGGAGGGCGAGTGGATCTCCCCGGTGGAGACCTTGGACAGACCTGACAGCACTTGTCTGGAGTGAGGCATGGCAGGCAGGTGGCTGATTTCTCTGACACGTAGATTTCTGATGTTGTCATCGTCTCCCATGACGAGCTAGCCTGGGACATGCCGGCCATAAACTTGGAGCAAGCATCCTACTACGCAGATTTAAGTCCGAGAATGGCTTGAGCAGAGTGATGTGAAGTCTTTAAGTAAGTTCAAGCTGAGGATGAAACCCACAAGTTGTTTGGAGAATTATGCTCTTCTGGAATGTTGCATGATGCCTCAAATATTAGGAATAGCTTATGCATCTATCTTTCCCCTAGCCGAGGCCCCTGAAGCTTATGTCATTTTTTCTTTTAGACAGCCATAGGTTATTCAATAATAATAATAATAATCATCATCATCATCATCATCATCATCATCATCATCATCATCATCAT